TTTTTCAGAGAGTTTTAGCAACGTCAAAGTAAAAACTCGCAAAAGGCGCATTACTTTCGCACCAACCCAATGTTTCAGTGCTTGATTGTCTAATCATTATGCCGGTGCCTCTTCATCTTGTGTTCATTGATGTATCCTACAACAACTTCGATTCACTGCCAGACTGGATTTGTGATCTGCCACAAATTGACTGTTTACGGGTAAACAACAATCGCCTCACTTCTCTTCCAGATAGGTAGCTAAATCACGGTCACCTACCTTTATGCAAGAAAGTATATTATTTCCAGGCTTTTCTCAGTGATGTCGATGCGTTATTTATACTGCAAAAACAACAAAATCAAAACTTTACCGGATCCTGTCGAGAACCTCAATCTAGTTTCTTGCGTTCTACATGGGAACCATTTGACAGAGCTACCGCGAGAATTTTTTCGAAGATGTTATAGGTGCAGAAGATTCTCTCATTCACACTTAAACCTTTGAGAATTTTTTGCAGGCTCCGGCATCTGAATGTGTCTTTTAACCGATTGACAAGTTTGCCAAATGTTAACGGAAACGTTGACCGTAATCGCATCAATACTCTTCGGCTCAGCGGCAATCGTTTGGACGAGTCGATTGTACCAGTGTTGATGAAAATGAAACGGCTAAAAATTCTAGATATTTCACACAACAAGCTGAGATATTTTGATGACAGGTGATACAGCGGCTGATTGAATTCCTTTGGGTTTGTAAACTCGCATCAAAAATAGAAAAAAATTGGGAACCTTCAAGAAATGTTTACCTTGTACTACAAATTTCCGCTGGTTATATACTGATTTTGATAAATGCCCTAGTGGCTCCTTTCGAAGCAGAATAAAGTTTAAGAAAACGTCAAACATAACACTCTATAAAAGCCTTTGTCCAGCACAAAGTTTCCGAGAGAGATTAGATCAGAAAAGCAAGAGTAATGGAGTCATTCTTTTTTGTTAGACCTTTCAGCGTCTCGACCGTATAGGGAGACAAAATCGAGTTTTTGAAAGAAAAAA